AGGAGAAATAAGTGGATTAGCCATGTTTGTATTTATCCCCTTTTAATGTCTAATATATTTCTTTCACAATATTAATGTGCCACACAGCCTAGACAGCCTAGACTTTAGGACAAAGAACATGGTTTGAAATATAGTTATTATATCCTGATAAACAGAGCAGTTCACCAGGACGGGATATAATAATCCTCAATTGTAGATGCCTGACAAATAGTCTCAAAAAATACAAAGCAAAAGTTAAGGGGGAAAAATGGGGAAAAATACACAAACTGAGATTTTTAGGTAAGGCCTTTCTCAAAAACTTTTGGGTTAGGCTGTTAAAACATGAGCACAGAGGAATTGAACAAAATAATTAACAAAGTTTATCTAATGAGCCCTCATCCCAAAGTTAAGTAGTGTGTTCAAATGTTTCATGTCGGTAGTAAGAAATACTTGGAAAATCATGAAACACACACACACACCAGAAACAAAAATTTCACAAAATAATTCCCCATACCTACTGCAATTTTTCTCTTTTCTGTTCTATTCTGTTTTGCTGCTGTCAGCGCTAATCTCATGATACAAAATTGATTTTATAACCCACTAATGAATTAACATCCTCTTTCTTGAAAACACTGGGCTAAAAAAAAAAACACACCTGCTTTTCAAGTCGATTTACAAACTGACTCTGACTCCCTTCACCGTGCCCAGCCCTGCTGCTTTTGTGTCCCCCTCTGTTCCCCTTGTGAAGCAAAGATGACTTTGACTCCTGTTTTCACTTAGCCAAGGCCACCTGACACAGTCTCCACTCTATATTTAGCTTTCATCTTTTCTTACAAAGCAAGAAGTATCCTTCCTCTCCAAGGTTAACTTTTAAGCCTGTACTTTTGAGCTCATCATCTGTTTTAATATCTCCTCAGGTTCTTATATCTAGACATTTCTCCTTGCTCAGCCCATCATGAACTCAGTTTCGGTGGGTTTAAGTGGTTCTCTCTATGGACCTCAGATTATCAGTGACTCTTATTTTCAGTCACTAGATTACCAAGCTAGGTTGTTTTTATAGGTTTGTTTTTTTTAAGTTAAAAATTTTGTTCTTTTGAATGGGTGATGTGTTCCTATGGTTCATATGCTAGAGATGCAAAAGAGAATTGTTAGGAAGTTCTTACCCACCTTTTCTCCAGCTGCTGTTACACCCTGTCCTTTCTGCCTTGCTCCCCCTTATTCGTCTTGTCCATGTCCTCAGCTTCTCCCCCTCAGGAGAGAATAGATGTTTCATTGCCATCCTTGAGTCACTCACTTTCTTCCCTTCCTTCATGTAGCTTCCTTTGAGGTGTTTTATGTTAATCACCTCCTGTGCATCTTCCCCTCTGGCCAGCCCCACACCCCAAACTAGCTCCATGCCATTCAAGCCAAGACTTTGGCAGTAGCCTTCTAGTTCCTTTCCCTGTTCCCAATCTCTGCCTCCTTTCAATGCTGTCAGCTAATCCCTGGCCGCAATCTTGTTTTACTTATGTCATTATCGGCCTGCCATGGTCTCCAGGAAGCACAGGCTCATTAGTCTTTTATTCAAGTCTCTCCACCATTGGCATCGGTTTACTTTTTCCACTCTTATCAATTCAAATCTTTCCTATACCCATTGGTCTTCTGTTTTAGACTTTTTGTTCCTTTGTTTTTATATCTTCTTAGCCCAATACAGTGCCTGGATCCTGGCAGGTACCTGATAAGTGTTTCTCCAATGACAGAACAAATTCCAAAACATACCTTGCACTTTGTTCACTCTGCATTATTTTTCTTGCTGCTTTTTGTATTCTTGAAGTTCTACTTATGTGCAACGATCCCTAACTGCTTTAACTCTAGCTCTTTCTTTCTCCTCTTTATTCCTAGAGCTCATCTGTACAAAGGAAGGGTGGGATGGGTAGAATCTGTGTGTGATCAGTTCATCTGAGATGGGGGGGTGAGGTGGGGTGGGGAGAGCTTCATTGGGGCTCTTAGCAGGGGCATCCATTTTGGCAGATATTGAGACTTGGCCTGCCTGAGACAGGGACCCTGGCTCACTATCTGTAAAGAAATAAAGGTGTTTTTAGTCTGCATACCAACATAAATACCAGTGGAGTTACATTTTTTTAAATTAACAAGAGATAAGTACTTAACTGATACTGGGTAAGGAACAGTTATTTATTTTTTTTAAAGATTTAGTTTTTTATTTATTTATACAAGCACTGGGTGCAGTCAGAAGCGCGGGAGGGTGAGAGGATTCACCAGAGCCAGAGCGGGGAGCAGAGCAGGCAGAAGGACCGAAGCACACTGCTGAGGGGAGCAGCGGGCGGCAGGAGAGGTCTGCATGCCATGTGGGACCCTCCTCTGGTGGCCGGGGAGCAGCCGGGGATCGAACCGGCGCTGCAGAGGCTGCGGGCAGCTTCGCAACCCAGCGCTCAACCGCTGCGCCACCAGGGAGGCCCAGGAACAGTTATTGTTTAAGCATAAAAATGATGAAAAAATTATTTGTATAAAAATTTGTATTAAAAAAACAGAAAATATTTGCAAATGTCAATGAATTAATGTCCTTAATATAAAAAGAACTTGCATATCAATAAGAAATATAAAAAATGAATAGAAGATATGAATATGAAATCACAGAAGAAGAAATATAAGTAGCCTATTTTGTAATTGCTTAATCTTACCAACAATAAAAAGAACCCTCATGTTAGCAATAAATATCATCAAATTAGCAAAATTTAAAAAAATTCTAAATACTGACAGCAGTTCTTTAAAACAGCTGTTTTCACATACTTCTGGCAGAAATCTGCCTTGGTATATAACCTTTGTAAAGCAGTTTGCTAACATTGGAAAGCTACTTTTTTTATCTTTTCACCTACTAATTTCATTCCTAGGAATTGATCCTAAAGCTATTAATAAGGGACAAATGAGATATTCACATAGTGGTCATCATTTTATCACAGTAATTTTTTTAAAAGATTTATTTATGCATACAAGATCTGGGGTGTAGGCTAGAAATGCAGGAGATTGGTGAGAGGATTCACCAGAGACAGAGTGGGGAGCAGAACAGGCGGATCTACTGAAATACACTGCTGAGGGGAGCAGCGGGCGAGACAGGAGAGGTCTGCTGCGCCATGTGGGTAGCTCCCTGGCCGGGGATCAAACTCATGCTGCAGTGGCTGCGGATAGCTTCATAGTGCTGAGACATAACCCCTTGCACCACCAGGGAGGCCCCTATCACAGTATTTTTTTGTAAAGATTTATTTATGTATACAAGAACTGGGGTACAGGCTGGAGATGTGGGGGGTGGTGGTGAGAGGATTCACCAGAGACAGAGTAGTGAACAGTGAACAGAGCAGGCAGTTTGACTGAAATACACTGCTGACGGGAGCAGCAGGCGAGACAGGAGAGGTCTGCTGCGCCCTGTGGGTTGCTTCATGGCCGGGGATCGAACTCATGCTGCAATGGCTGCAGACAGCTTCATAGGTTGCGTCTTAACCCCTTGCGCCACCAGGGAGGCCCCTATCACAGTATTTTTTATGATAGGAATTAAACTGGAAATCAATGCCCAAAAGTGAAGAAGTGCTTCTCTAGGTGGACAGTTATGCAGCTGTGAAATTATGATTTTGTAGGATATTTTAAAGACATGAAGTATTAAAAGAAAAAAGTTAACATATATTGCTATATTCACAGTGTTGTGATTTGGTCTGCACACAAAAATAAGAATTGAAATGTGGCAAAGTAAGTTATCTCTGAGAAGTTAAGATGGGAGTGATGAAGTTTTTCCAATTTTATACAGTATTACTTTTAAGGTAAGAATACATGTTACTTAACATGTAAATCTTGTCTTATCGATTAGAGTCTCAGGGAGGCCCTTGGCAGATTTTCAGAACACAGGCGTCAGTCATGCAGGCCTTGGCTTACCGCTCTCTCCTGGATTCGTTGTCTGATGGCACACTCAGGTTACTTTTCTAAGGCTCTGTTTTCTCATTTGTGGAATGGGATGCCTAATACCCTTTAAAATAAATTCCCTCTTTTACCTTAAATCGGTCTCCTTTTTTTTTGTCTCCCATTGAATGTTGTTAACAATAAAGACATTCAAGATATAATAGTCAAAACTCAAATGAATTCAGATACCAAACTATTGTCTGTAATTACTCTGAGTTGCAGATTGATCATAAATTTCACTAATACAAAATTTAAATGGCAACAATTAAAATGTAATTTAAATTTTCTGCCAAGTGAAATATTGTTTTCATTCTTGCCAATCTTTTCCAGCTATTAAATTATCGCTAATGATGCTCTTATCTCCATGATAACAGCTCTTTGCAACCCAGGTTTCAAGAGAAAATTAAGCCCTAATGTCCTCAGGCATCCATGCATCGCTCCTATGTGTCTAGAATGGTACCAGTTATGTGCCATTCTAGGGAGAATTGAGAATATAGTCCCCCAAATCACTGTTCTGAGGTTCAGATGAGGATCCCTGACTGGGGATGCCAGGCACATAGTAGGCACTGAGTAAATGGTAGCCACTTCTATTGTTTTTGTAGTAGATGTTACATAAAAGAACAGAGGAATTCTGGATTTCTTTACTTGGCGTAAGCTTCTTCAGGAAAGGCTATTTTCCAGAGCGTGAGCCAGTAAGTGGCCATCTCTGGCAGTGTCTCAGGCTTTGTCTTTGGATCTTGCCCTGACGGTAGGACTGCTGGCAGCTCCTCCTTCGCCCTCTTGTAGTGCACCAGCCTGTTTTGCCCACTGCAGGGCGCCAGAGTGCTGCCTCCCGGCTGAGTAGCATTTCAGAGTGTCACTTCTTGCTCCCTAATATCCTTAAACCAAAAGACTTATTCAGGCCTCAGATTTCATGCTTTTTCACTAATTGCTTTTTACTAATATATTCAGCTCTGGGTGTTTATAACTTCTCTTTGGGGATAAAGGACATTTTAAAAATAAATTTTAAAGATGATTTAATATGTTTTCTATTAATATTTTCTCATGACTGCCCTTTTTTTTTTTTTTTTTTTTTTTAGCTACTGATCTACTTCTTGCCTGGAATCCCATTTGTTTGGGGTTGGTGGAAGGTGTTATTGGGAAAATTCAGCTTCACTCAGGTATGTTTCTATGAACTTAAACTGGTCAAACTATTGCCAGTTGATCGCCTTTTTCCATTCTATTGCCATTCTGTCATCTTTTTTTTTTTTTTTAAATAACATTGTATTGTGACATAAATTTCAGGTGTGTATCTTTGGAAATCAATATATATAGTACATTAAATTTACCATATGACATTTTCCTTTGGGGATAATTATAGATTCTGTTATGACTTTGATTCCTTTGCCTTAATTTTGAGTCTACCCCTAAATAGATATATTTCTCTTTAAGATTTATGAAGTAAAACTAAAGCTTTAGAAAAAGAGGTAGCATAATATTACAGTCCTAGCTTCCTCTTAAAAAAAAAACAAACCACCATTTGACTGACTACGTGTGTTGAGAATTGCACTAGTTGACAGAACACAGCAGTGAGCATAAACTGACCCATTCCCACCCTCATGGAGCTTACAGTTTTGGAGGGAAGACAGACACCAGTGAGTAATCACGAAAATAAACATATAATTTTTAAAAAATTGTTCTAGGTGTTCTGATGGAAAGATACACCACCTGACCGATTTCCAGGGAGAGAATAGTAGGAATAAGTAGAGAGGTGGGCAGGTGGTGGACCCTGGCTGGTCGGCTCCTTGTCAGCTCTCTGTTCCTGACACAGTCAGCCCTGGACAGGGGAGAGTAGGGATGTGCAGTGTGTCCTTTCTGGGAGCCCAATCCAGGGAAGATAAAAAAATGGAATGTCTAGATCATTTGCCAGACCCTTGCTTGGAAGGACAGGCACCTATGTTCTGGTTTAGAGGAAATTTTGTTGGTGAGAAAATAGATGTTATACAGACAGGTTCCAGAAAGTCGTGAAAAGGACTAAATGAAGTATTTTAAATGTCTATTTTTCCTTTGGTATCAATTTTACTGAGTTATGAACTACAGGAGGCTTTACTGTTATTGCTATGTATAATCACCTCTGTTGTGTACCCTTTTTTATTCTTTCAAAATACAATTAGATCGAGTTCTGTGTATTATAAAGCACATATTCCTGGAGAAAATCTAATTTTTCTTTGCTAGATTTTTTTGGTTCTTAAAATTTTATTTTTTTCATGAAATATTTTTCAGGCATAAAAACCTGTTTATCAGAGATATGTGGCATAGGTTGTTATAAGACAAGCACCTATCTCTCCAACCCAGCTTAAAGAAGGAAACATGACCAGTGGCTTTGGTGCCTCACTGCACATTTCTCCAAGTGTATCTTCTTCCTTTCCTTCAAGAGAACCTGCTGTTTTGAATTTCATACTTTATTATTCTCTTGATTTTCATATTGCTTTCATATATATCCCTAAACAGTTACCACTAAGGTTTTGTATTTTGTTCTTTTCCCCCATTCAGCTTTATAATTTGAAGTCTTATCCATGTTGTCATATGAAGCTTTAGTTTCTTATTATCAGAATTATATGAATATATCATAATTTGCCCTTTTTCCTGTCAGTGGGCAATTATTTAGCTTTTTTTTCCTATTAGAAATAATGCTCTATGAGCATTGTTGTATGTTCTGTCTTTGGTAGTTTTTTAGACTTTTAATACAAAGGAGAAAGCGTTTAGACATTGTGTAACCATGTTAAGTATTAGGTTAATATTCTCCTACCTGTCTACATTTACATACATATATTTGTAATTCATTTATATGCTGACAGGATAATTTCACTGCTGAGTGTTCTGAGCTGAAATTCATTTTCTGTTATTTAAATGAAGCATGTGAAACTTTTGAGTTGTTTTTTTTCAATTTTGGTCACATCATGGAGCAATGAATATTTCACTGCAATTAGTCAGGAGACCTGGGATTTATTTGTTAGCTTTGAGATACAGGGGAAGTTACTTAACTTGCTTTATTTATCTCTTGCTGTATAACAAGCTCCACCAAAGTTCACTCTTAAAACACTAACACTGTATAACATCTACTGAGTATAGACTGACCAAGCCATTCTGCTCTGCTCTGCTGCTAGCAGGGTCATTTGTGTGCAGTGTTCAGCTGGGGGTTTGCCTGACTCTTTTCCTTCATGTGGCCTCTCTCTCCACACAAGACCTCTCGTGGGGCCTCTTTCTCTATTGGATTCCTAGACATCCTCTTAGGTGGCGCCTTGGGGCCAAAAGACAAGTCCCAATGTGCAAGGGCTTATCATATCTCTGCTTACATCACTGAGCTTGTTTATATCCCGTTGGCCAAAGAAAGCCGCATAACAAACCCAGAGTACATGTGAGTGGGGGATTCACGAGTGTGTGCACCCCATGAGGCTGGTTGAATGGGGGCCACAACACCCCTAGGCCTCTACTTTGTCAACTGTAAGACAAGAGTAAAGGCAACTCCCCAAGGAGTGTTTTATGAGTCTCGAATGAGATAATTTACCAGAAGTTGCTTAGTAAATTATAAGACACTATTTAATCAAGATTCTTTTGTTTGCAAATACAAACTTATTGGCTTGTGCAAAAAACCACAAAATTTTATCAGAAATCCAAGTTACCACTGTAAATAAGTAGATGTCATACAGGCTCCAAGATTACTCTTTCGGGGGCAGGTGGTCTCTGACTACCTGTCCCTCTACATCTCTGTCAGTCTTCTCTCATCTCGGCTTTCTCTGTTTTGTGCTTGTAGGACAAAATTTCTGCCCGTAAATGGCACTTTACTCTCAAGCCAGCCAACATCTGATGCTTCCTACAGCCACTAGAGACTGACCAACCATCAAGAATTGAGAAAAACCATGTTAAATGACAAAAATTACATAACACTTAATAAGCAATGTAATCCTAATTTCCTGAAAAAAATGTGCATAGAATAAGAATTCTTCTTTGCTTGTATAGGAAGATAAAAATCATGTAATTTCATATGATTTTCCATCTCTCACTGGAATTAGATATCTAGCTGGCACGTTGCTGATCTGTTGGTAATTTTACATTCTAGAAGTCAGGTTTCACGATAAGACTTCAGAAGGCAGATCAGCTTTGATGTTTTCAAGATGGTGGCCTTAACAACTTTTGAAAGTTGGACAAATATATTGCCAGATAATCTGAAGAATTTTTCTTAAATTATGAAAGGTCCCTGCACACAAGATGCTCAGTTACCTGTAGATTTTCTGTGAGATGTTTTGTTCTAGAGCAGTCAGGAGAAAGGACAGCAATTGTATCGTGGACTGTGGAAGGTAGAGTTGAATTCAGAAGTCGGGAGAGCTAACCTTGACTTTTATTAGCCTTGATGCAATATATAATTTGATAATGCTAACATATGTGCTCTCCCAGGTTTCATTTCTTCTTCTCTAAGTGAAGTACTGGGAAGCACATTAAACACAAAGCTCCTTTTGAGATTTTAATGTGTTCAGTTTACCAATTATGCATACAAGAACTGTGGTGGGGGGGTGAGGGTGTGAGAGGTGAGGGGGTGAGAGAACTCACCAGAGACAAGAGTGGGGAGCAGAACAGGCAGATCTACTGAGATACACTGCTGAGGGGAGCAGTGGGCAAGACAGGAAAGGTCTGCTGTGCCATGTGGGTTAGCTCCCTAGCCGGGGATCAAACTCTTGCTGCAGTGGCAGGCGATAGCTTGATAGTGCTGAGACTTAACCCCTGTGCCACCAGGGAGACCCAGGTTACCAATTAATTGAATAGTAGTAGTGAGTCTAGGTAAGACTCCTATGATAGACTCTTCATGGCCATTGTGGACCAAGAACCTGTCCTGGTCAGGAAGCTCAGACATGCTTGCGAGGTCTGTTCTTCAGGCTGGGGAGCAAGGGGGGTGGGGGAACATTCGGAGCAGGAGGGTTAGACTTGGCAGATAACCCACAAGCTACTACTGTGAGCAGTGCACAAACAGAATTACTGGTTGAGTTGAGCCTGCACTGAAAGCCTGGTCATTAGGAGGTGGTGAAGGTGTGGTCAAGGTGTGGTCTCCTGTGGGCAGCCCAGTTTCCTCCTTGTGCGGCATGGGCATGCCTTTCTTTGGATCACAAACAATTGGTTGGTAGGCAGTGGAGGAACCTGTGTATACGATATTTGGAAGAGGGAAAGACAGAGTAATTTTTCCCCAGTAATATTATTTTCTGAAATAATGTCCAGTCAACTAGAGAAAGAAAATATGAAAAAGGAAAGAAAGGCAGGGAAAGTGCTCCATTTTTCTCTCTTCTAATCTCTGTACCTTTTTATTTTTCTTGTCACATCACTTCTGAGGTGTGGCTCTTTAGAAAGGGAGCAGGGAGGAAGGGAAGGAAAATCTTTTCTGGGCCCCCTGCTGCTGCTCTTCCCTCACCGGGGAGAGAACTGCTCCCCCACCCTCTGCATGTCCCTTGCCCTCCTTGAGCATCTAGCTTACTCCTCTCTTCCTTTTCTTCATCCTAGTCCCAGGGAGCCTCATTCCTTGCCCTCCCTGTGCCCATTAAAGCTTTGCCCTGGACACTGCCAGCTGGCTGACGAGGTGTCTCCTGGTGTGTATTAGAACTTGTTACTTGGGGTGCATTTTCCCAGGGGGGCATCTTACCTTTCTCGTTCCTGTTTCCCTCCTACTTACTCTCTACATATTAATGCATGATTTTTGTTCTTGCCTGATGAGATGGGAACATAAATTTATTTGAATAGATGTCATTGACAGTCTGAAAAATGGCGTGGGTGAGTCGTGCCACTGTTCCTGACTGGCATTTCACTCTGAGCTCTTTGGCATATAAGCTGTCGTGACTTAGTTTGCTAGGGCTGCCACTGCAGAGACTTGACAACAGAAACAGTGGGAAGGTGTTTTATCATAATTCTAAAGGCTGTGTCTGCAGGGCTAGTTTCTTCTGAGGTCTTTGGAACTTTCTGAGGTTTGGAACTTGGCCGTCTTCACATCCTCTTCAGATCGGTGTGACTCCATATCCAAATCTCCTTTTATAAGGCCACACATCATAATGAATTAGGGCCCATCCTAATGACCTCACTTTAATTTTAATTACCTCTTTAAAATAGGGTTACATTATGAGGTACTGGGGTTGGGGCTCCA